ANNGTTGTAACGCATTTTCATGATGAACAGGTAATATTTACCTTTGTTATTTCAATTTTATATAATTTAAAAAATTATTTTAATTAATATTTATAACAAACCTTTTTTGCGTCTGAGAGCAGTCCGCATTATTGAAACTCATCACGAGCAGGCTGGGTACACTTGATATATAATGCTTCCAGACTGGGGTACGTTAACAAAAGAAACAAACCTTTTTTTTGCGTCCGAGAGCAGTCCGCATTATTGAAACCCATCACGAACGGGAGAGCTATAACGCATTTTTGAACAGGTAGTATTTACCTTTGTTATTTCAATGAACAGGTAGTATTTACCTTTGTTATTTTAATTTTATATAATTTAGAAAATTATTTTAATTAATATTTATAACAAACCTTTTTTGCGTCTGATAGCAGTCCGCATTATTGAAACCCATCACGAACGGGAGAGAGCAGTCCGCATTATTGAAACCCATGACGAATGGGAGAGCTGTAACGCATTTTCATGATGAACAAGTAATATTTACCTTTGTTATTTCAATTTTATATAATTTAGAAAATTATTTTAATTAATATTTATAACAAACCTTTTCTGCGTCTGAGAGCAGTCGGCATTATTGAAACCCATCACGAGCAGTCCGCATTATTCAAACCCATCACGAACGGGAGAGCTGTAACGCATTTTCATGATGAACAGGTAATATTTACCTTTGTTATTTCAATTTTATATAATTTAGAAAATTATTTTAATTAATATTTATAACAAACTTTTTTTGTGTCTGAGAGCAGTCCGCATTATTGAAACCCATCACGAACGGGAGAGCTGTAAGGCATTTTCACGATGAACAGGTTACCTTTGTTATTTCAATTTTATATAATTTAGAAAATTATTTTAATTAATATTTATAAATTTGTATCGTAGGGTGCTTTCATTAAATGCATAATACGTTATCCGAATATGAGAGCAACAAACTTTATATAAACTGAGAGCAGTCTAATTTTTGTAAAATATGTAAACTTTAAACGTGTTTTATATATAAAATTTTATATACTTTTAAACATGTTAGTTGGGCAAATTTTAAGGATATATATATATATATGTGTGTGTGCGAACTTTAAGTATATATATTTTTCTTATAAAATAGTCTAGACAAAATTGAGGTAATTTCACATTTTTCAATAATAATATAAAATAGTTTAATACTTTCACATATGTTATATAATAGTCTGCGTATTCTTAATGTCTTTTGGTTGTAACATTGTTAACACATATAATATTAGATACTTTTAAACATATTTAGATATTTTTTTTACTCATTCTTTAATATCTATGTGCATAAAAAGAGAATAATATTTATAAAAAATTTTCCGGCAATATACTAAATGTTAGATAAAAATCTCATTTTATTTGTTATATAATATTTCGAGTTGCATTAATTTTGATTTGTATGTGTAAAATTGATAAATTAAGCGTATGAAAAGGAGTGTACGAATTACTGTAAGGATTTAAAAAATAAAAAAATAAATCTAATTTTTGAATATTTTCTAAACGAATTTATGTCATAATTCGTCATAATTTTCCCACATCATGTCAATATTTATTTTATCTATACTAGGTAAAAGGTAAATCATTATCTCAATATTTATTCTATATATTCTAAGTAAATCTTCTCATCTATCTCAACGGTCCGCAGGTAGTATTTCATACTTTTCTATTCATAATCAAATATACCAAACCTTCACAAATTTTACTTCACAAAGAAAGTGTTCAATAATTTATATTTTTTTCCTTCTTTGCAATCCATTTATTTTTATTACATATATATAAATTATATTATTTTTAATATTTCACACGTTAAACATTTCAGGAAAATATACCATCCCGTGCATCGCACGGGCTATGCGCTAGTAAATAATTGATATGAGACGGTGCTTGAGCCATATCTTAGACTTTTCGAATGTAACCTAAACAAAACTTAATGATTTATAAACAAATATCTTGATATCAAGATTATAAAGGACAATCAAAAGCTGCATAAATCTATAATCAACAAAGGGACTTTTTAACTATAAAATTCTAAAGCACTTGGGTGATTGTTTATGGATTCAACTAGTTTTTATTTGATATGTTTCTTAACTATAGTTAATTTTAGAAAAAAGTGGTATGGTTAGTTGTTAGCGGATATATTAAAATAATATTTAAATAAAATAATTAAAATTTATTTGATGTAAAGTAGGAGAAAAATGATTGGAAGTAATGATTAGTTAAAATTGTGAGAGTGGATGAATAGTGAAATAAAGTTGATGTGATGTGTAAGAATGATTAACTGATATTATTTAATTATATTGATAATATAGGAGATAGTGGGGTTGGGTTAAAGTTGAGTTAAGTTTGAGTTTTGATTGGTTTTTTTTACTATACAAACTATAAACAATTGCCCCATTGAGAATCCAAAAAATTTAACTCAACAAAGAAAATTTGACTCAACCTTATTATCATTAATATTATTAATATAATTAAATAATATTAACTAATCATTCTCACAGATCACGTCAACTTTTTTTCATTATTCATCCACTCACATAATTTTAACCAACCATCACTTCAAATTATCTCTCCCTACTTTTACATCAAATCAATTTTAATTATTTTATTTTAAATATTATTTTAATATATCCACTAACAACTGACAATACTTCTCAAAATTAACCAAAACAAACAAAAAAATCTAAACGAAACAAATAAAATTTTATATCTAAACATCCCCTTGAGAACTCAACAAATTTTCTTACATGAGCTCATTCATAAGTTCAATCATCTCCAACTTATGAAAATCTGATGTGAAAGTCATGTTCTCATAAAACATTTGTGTATTTTTGCAGTTTTAAATTCAACTCTTACAAATAGCTTTTTAATTT